AACATAAAAAATTCTGACTGGCATGTATATTTTGTGCATTTACCGTAATAAAAAAATAAATAATAAACATGTTCAGTTAACAGTAGATTTGAGTAGAAATTGTTTATTTTTTCAAAATGGTAAATGTACAAAATATCAGTAAATTATCCGCTATCCGCCTGAAAATTCACAGATTATCGGTATCAGCTCTAATAAATCTATATCGGTCGATCCCTACCTAAAAGACAAAATTAAAAAGAAACATAGGGTAGTACTGTAAATGTAAAGAAAAAAAAACAAAAGTACACCAATGGTTCCATTCACATAATACTAAGCCACTAAAATAGCCAGTTCAGATTTCACCCCTTCAGGACGGAGTCAATAGTACACGTTCTGATCAAAACAAAATGTAAACCAAAACTGGAATTTGCACTATATGTCTATTCAACCATAATTCACCTCTTTCATATTATGTGCACCCATACTTATTGTATATCATTTTGTTCAGGAGAAACAGGGCTTTAATTTCTCATGAACTATTCATACATGAAACATAACTTATTATGAATAAAATAAAAAACTGTGAGAAATTAAGATTTTTTTTAAATAAATTGTAGTTCCGTCTGACATTTCAGCTGTAAATGCACAGATTTGTATTCAGCAAAGTCTCACAAACACAGTTGCCCCCATTAACAGATTTCACAGTGTTTTGGAAAGTTACAGGGTCAAATATAGCACATTCCATTTTTTTTTTTTTTCAAATAAAAATTTGCCGGATTAGTAATGTTACCTTTGAGATCGTGTGGTAGCCCAGGATTGAGAATTACTCCCATGATGGCATACCATTTGCAAAAGTGCACAACCCAAGGGTATTGCAAGTGGGGTATAGCCACGTCAATCAAATTTTAATCAATTAAATCACATAGTTATGTTAGAAGATTATTTAAATATACAAGTCAAATTTATATATAGATACATATATCATTTATGTAATTATATATATTTGCGGTTATTTGTATTGTATAGATGGGTTGTATTTTGTTACCAATATGTATATATTAATAACAAAATACAGTTAGAATAAAATTACATATGTATAATTTATTTTATTATTGTAACTATACGTGTATATATAAATATAAAATATATATGTATTACATATATATATTATATATATATATATATATATGTAACTTCATTCTAAGTGTATTTTAATACTAATATAAGTACTTATGTTAACATTAAAATACACTATGTATGACGTTATATATATATATATATATATATATATATATATATATAAATAATACATTTAATTTATTTGTACATGTTTAATTATGTTGTTTTTTTAGCTATTCCCACCAGCAGGGGGACTGTCTGACAGCCCAGACAGTCCCCCTGATGACAGATCTACAGCTAGCTATAGGGGGCCTAATTTGCCAGGGGAGGGCTGCCTGTGCTGTCAGACAGTCCTCCTGAAGCGGGTCGCCAGGAAGGTGAGTATCTGGAGGCTCCTGGGGGCTTAAGCAGTTACGGCGTTCTATGCCATCGCATTGGCTTTAAAGCCCATTATAATGGGGACGGCATAGAACGCTGTAACGGTGTTAAGGGGGTAAAAGGGGAGACTGAATGAAAAGGTGGTTGGTTGTCTCCTGAGATCAGCTGTATGTCTTGCGTCCACTTTAACCCCTTAAGGACGCATGACGGAAATTTTGCGTCATGCTGGTCCTACCCTTAAGGACACATGACGGAAGATTTCTGTCATGCAGTATTTTTCCCACAGGGTCTATTGCCTTGCTGGTAACTATGAGCCCCACGTATCATTTGATTCCTGGGGCTCCCCTCTCTCACCTGGGCCATTTTTAGTGGCCCCAGACTTTTTGAAGAGCTGCATGCAGTGGTGAAAGTCAGCACTGCATGTAGCCCTTTAAATCAACAAAGAACACTGCAGCTGAGCGATCAAGCTCAGCTACAGTCATTCTCTCAAGTGATGTGGTGCTTGGGAGACCCCCAAGGTCTGAACAGACCCTGGAGGGTCACCCTCTATGCCCCAATGCCGTTCTGATCAGTGCTAGGCATGTTCAGTTGCCCAGCACAGATTGCATTGCATTGGGCATAATGTCTTCAATGTAAGAGATGGGAGACTGCAATACTGAAAATAGCCAGTGGATGGCAGCAACATACCACTGTCTATTTTAGTTTAAAATCCCTTTACTTATATCAGTAATGATACTAGTAGAGGGAAACCTTTGGAATTAAGAATAAATTAAGTATTATTATTCGGATTAGAATAAGTACTAGATTTATTATCAGGTTTATTATAAAGTTTATGTTTACGATTAGGTTTATAATTGTAGTATTGGGATTATGTTTCAGATTAGAATTCAGATTAGGATTAGGGTCAGCACAGGCATACCTTGCTGAATATAGCAAGGGAATTCCTCTGCTGACACCAGCAGGGGGAATAATTTTAACACTATTGCTAAAGGTAGGATTAAGATTAGGATTAAGGTTATAATTAAGGTTACACATGGGACTACGTTATGAGTTAGGATTGTGGTAAGGGTTTACTATCAGATTGAAGGTTAGATTTGAGATTAGGATTTGGTTTAGAATTAGGGCTTGGTTTAGGATTAGGGATTTAGATTAGGATTAAGATCGTTACTTTCCAAAGATATACATATGGGGTATATTTGTACTGAGAAGATGTTGCTGAGTACAGCTAAGATAATTTTATGACAGTGGGACACAAGATTTAAAAAATAAGCATCAAAAATACTATGTGTATGTAAAAATAAAAATGAATACCACAAACTTTGAAACAAAATGGTAACAAAATGTCACTTCAATAAAGCTTATAATATTTTATGTGAGAGTCCCCAGGGTGTCCACTTTTGTAAATGGTATGCATTGGCGACGTAATTTAAATATATGAGTGACTAAAGTGCCCCAAAATGAAACAAAGACCCATTGTCAATTTGCCATTTAAAAAAAACTGTACTGGGCCAGGTATGATTTTAGCCCTGTATTTTTTCACAAAAACCTGGCTAAGGTATACAAAGGGGGTCATTTTGTACTCAAGAAATATAGCTGAGAATAATTTAGTGATTTAATTTATAGTAGCATATATCAAGTTTCCAAAATTAACCACTAAAGTACAACATGTGTGTATAAAAATGCAAAATTAAAACAATATGCTAAAATTTGAAAGAAATTGGTACTGACATAACTGTATATTAAAGCTCAAATTATACCATATGACATAGCCCGTGGTGTCTACTTTCACAAATGGTATGCGTTTATGGGGTAATTTTAACTGTCAAACTGCTACAATGCCCTAAAATGTGATATAGACACATCAAATCCATTTATCAAAATTCTAATTGTAAAAACTGTAACGGTCAGGACTCTTAAGTCACTGTAGCTTCACAGGATAGTGCAAAAGACATACATTGGGGCTATTGTTTTATTCAGTTGATATGGCTGAAAACAATATGGGGTTTTCTACAGCAGTAGTATATATCAGCTTTATGAAATACACATTAAAATCCTTGTTTTATGTGTGTATGTTAGAAAGAAGTGTCAGAATACCCTTTTGTAAATAGCCTGTGATGTGTGCTTTATATAAATATATACTTTTGTGCGGCAATTTTGCTTTCGGTGATGGCTATTAAGCTTACAAGACAAACATACCAAATTCTAAAATGGCTCCACATTATAATTTTATTTTACTCCTTGTATTGTGTGACCTGTAACTTTAAAAATAAGCTGAAATCCTAGACATATTATGTACTCTGAAAATCAGAACAACTAATTGAATATTTTTTTAAATACTTTCCTTAAGCTGCACTTATTATACACACGTTATTATTGCCTAAACTGTGGGGTAAATTTTTTTTTTTCATTTTGTTTGCATTTTTTTTTTTATAATAAGAATTTATATATGTATAGGTCACATCAGATTAAAGCCCTTGTTGTCCTTTAAAAAAACGATATACAACATGTGAGTGCAATAAATAAGAAAAATGCAAAAGGAGGTTGAACACAAACAGCAAAAAATGCTTGTGTCCTTAAGGGTAAGTCCAGTTTTTGAAGCTGCGTCCTGAAGGCGTTACAGAGTAATTCCTCAATAGAGATCCATTAATCCGGGTACAGGGTTTAAAAACTCAAATGTATTAAGGACAAAAACAAAACAAAGAAAAAAAAACTAATCTTATTACAAAGAAACATGACGTCCACCTGCACTTAACGCGTTTCGACTCCTGGCTTTATTAAAAGTGCTATTGGTGTACTTTTGTTTTTTTTCTATATATTTACTGTACTACCCAATGTTTGTTTTTAATTTTGTTTTGTTTTTAGGTATAGCTCTTGTACCCATTCTATGGTAACATTGTATACTAGTTTGTGCACACTCAGCAATTTTACGGTTATAGAATAAAATAGCTGAACTGTAAATATAGCCCTTTTGGCCTTAAAAGGACACTGTAGTCATCCAGACCACTTAAGCTCATAGAAGTCCCATCACCCTTAACCCTGAGCATGTAATTATTGCAGTTTTTATAAGCTGCAGTAATTACCTCTGAGGGTGGCTGTCTACTAGATCCACGAACATAGACGACCGCGCCAGAGCAGGGAATCCCTTTACTCCTCACTTACCGACCAATTCGTTCTACAACCAGGTCGTAGGAACGGAACCCAATTGGTAAGTGAGCAGTGTCTGTATACTCTATTTTTTGGCAATGTAACAAATACATTTAACATGTTGCCACTTTTTCCAACAGAAAAGTTTTCAGTTTCGTTTTTTTTTTCTTTCAAATTCAGCAGATTTCAGTAAGGTGAATATCTGCAAAAAAAAAAAAAAAACCAAAAAACGGTCAGACTAAACAATCACTTTAATAAATACAGTCAAAATAATTACAGAATTTAAGTCACTTTTCAGAACACTTTTAAAAATATCCTCCATTATTTCACTTTTTTCTTTTTCTCTGAGCTGACTGCTAGATTGACAGAGAGCTAACACGAAAGAAACCAAGTTGCAGGATAAAGAGATGAGGATTTCAATGTTTAATTGTGTTTTTCACAAATGAAAATGGGTTAAATATAGGGATGCAATAACATCAGATTTCAAAAAAAAAATCAAAAGGAACATAGCCACCATAACAACTTTATCTGCGCCGTAGGTAACTTTAGGGATAAACCGAGGTAAGAGTGCGTCCGGGGGCATCCTGGCACCATAAAAACTTAATTTAGAAGAAATTGTTGCTGTGCCTAAACTGGCCAATTTAACTTAAATTTTGCTGTGCTGATTACAATGGAGTACAATTCACAGCTGAGTGAATAAGCCTGTATAATGTTGCTCCATTTTGGTTCTGCAATGAATGCCTGCTAGCAGCCTGCAGGCCAGATGTCAGCATCCAGAGCTGCAGCAGTGAGCCTGGCAGGAGCCTGGCCCAGGGTGCATTGTGCTAGCACAGTCTAAGGAGAACTTGGCTCAGGCGTCAAGCCATCGCATTCCACCACTGCGCATGCGTCTCCCTAGCCCGGACCGCATCACACTGTATATCACTACGCCCCTCACCCCCACCCTCCTTCCTGTTACCATGTAAACCGCTTACGGACGTTTAGTAAATATCTTCGCGGCCCGTATTGTTCTCAGTTACTGTGTTTCGCAATACACCACACACGACTTTAATAAAGAACGAATAAAAACCCCACGAACCGCCACAGAGGCCGAAACCGCATCCCCCATCGTGTGGGGTGGTGATGCGGCCGTTGCCCAGAAAATAGTGTCCCTCCGCGCGGAGTACGCGGGGACTTTATTGCGGGGATTCCGGCGCCCATGAGACGGCATTTCGACTAATTCGGATCGGGTCGTGCAGGGTGGGCCTCAGCTCGGACAGCAATACGGCCCAGACGGGGGTCGGCGGCGGTACCCACACGGCGGGCACGGTAAGGGGAGCTCCGAGCCTTTCTGTCAGGTTACCGAATCTTTTCCAGGTCAGTGTGGGGTGTCGGGCCCTACCGGATGTGGAAGTTGATCTCCTCTGTGGCAAAAAATAATTCAACTTCCCCCGGAACCCGGATCATCCGAACGATTTCCTGTTGATTGCGTTAAAGTCGGCGAGTTTCCGGGGACCCGGGGCTGCGGCAGGCCTGGCCGCTGGGGGAGCCGCACCGGGGCCTCTCCGAGAGCGGGAAACGGAGCTGGCTGGCTGGCCGGGGGATGGGAGGGAGGAGAGGGCCGCAACCGGGCCGGCACCCACCTAGCCACCTAGCCAGCCACTGGGCGGGAAACGGGATCACTGACACCTTTATTATTATATATAATATACTGACACCTTTATTATTATAATATATATATATATAATATACTGACACCTTTATTATAATATATAATATACTGACACCTTTTTATTATATAATATACTGGGTCCTTTATTATAATATATAATATACTGACACCTTTTTATTATATAATATACTGGGTCCTTTATTATAATATATAATATACTGACACCTTTATTATAATATATAATATACTGACACCTTTTTATTATATAATATACTGGGTCCTTTATTATAATAATATGTTGGGTCCTTTATTATAATAATAATGTATAATATTCTGGGTCCATTATTATTATTATTATTAATAATAATAATAATAATAATATATAACATACTGGGTTCTTTATTATAATATTATGTAACAGACTGGCATCTTTATTATAATATAACACACTGACTCCTTTTTATTATTACAATATAGCACACTGGCACCTTTTATTATAACATACTGGGTCCTTTATTATATTATACTATATGACACACTGGCACCTTTTATTTTAATATAACACATCGGGACCTTTTATTATAATAAATTATGTTATAACACACCATAATCTTTTATCATAATACATTATATAACACACTGGCACCTTTAATTATTATATATTATAACACACTGGCACCTTTTGTTATATATTACATCGACACCATATATTTAAATTTAAAATATATAGGTCCCACTGGCACCTTCTATTATATTAAATTATAGCACACCGACTCCATGCATTATAAGTCCTATATCCTACCAGCTCCATATATTATACCCACTGCCTCCTTCTATTATATATTGTGGCCGGCACCCTCTTATCATATAACATACCGGCTCTATATTATAATTCACTGGCTCCTTCTCCTATATTGTTTTATAACACACTGGCTCCCTCTGGTGTATATGCTAATATAACACACTGCCCCTTCTGTATTATTGATTATACTAGAACACACCGACTCCCGTATTACATATTATACCATAACATACAACCTTCTGTATTATTTATAATACCATAACACACCACCTCCTGTATCATTTATTTTACTATAACCCAATTCCTGTATTATTTACTATACTATAACCCACTCACTCTTGTATTCTTTATTATACTATAACCTACCAACTCATGTATTATATGATCACATTGTACAGCACTGCAGAATTTGTTAGCAATTTATAAATCATAATAACACAATGACTCCTGTATAATTTATTATACTATAACCCACCGACTCCTGTATAATTTATTATACTATAACACACCACCTCCTGTATTATGTTTATACTATAACCATCTCCTGTATTATTTATTATACTATAACAAACTGACTACCAGTGATTTTTTATTATACTATAACACACCGTTTGCCTCTGTTATATGTTATACTAGAAAACACTGGCTCCCTCTAGATTGTAAGCTGTTTTGAGTAGGTTCTTCGTCAATCTATTGTTCCTGTAAATTTTTTTTAATTTTCTCCTTTATTGTTAAATTTCCCACCTTAAAATGTGAAGCACTGCGGGATATTTTGGCGCTATATAAATTTCATTATAATAATGTATTTGTACTATAACCCACTGACTACTATTATATAGTGTACTATAAAATATTAATATTAACTCCTGTTTTATGTCTTATACTACAAACCTCCAGCTCCATCTGTTTTATACTATAACACACAGGCTCCTTTTACTATATATAAAGCGCCAACAATTTCCGCAACGCTGTACTATAGGTGGACTAACAAAAGTATTTGCAACAAGATGAGTTAGACGCACAGGAACAGCGTGTTGAGGACCCTGCTCAAACAAGTTACATTATAGATATTATAGCCCTATACTATATCACATCAATTGTAAATAATATACAATAACACACTGCCTTCCAGTATTCTGTATTATACCATAATACACCGGCTTCTTGTATTATATAAATAGATAGCAGAGTTTTAGTTGACTATTTCGGAAGAAGCGCCTCTAGTGGCCTTAGAAGGAAATCCACGTGAGGCATTGAAACCCAGAACGGCAATGTATTTAAATTGCAAGTTTTAATCTGTATTTCTATCGGCTATTTGTTGTGCTGTTACCACCATAAGCAAAAATTACCAAATTAAAACCAGTAATTCTTAGCTACGTGTAGCAGTGCTTTTTTTTATTTTTTATTTGTGAACACAAAGTGGTTCTTTCATTTGCATGCATTAACATTTTCTGAAGCAGAGTTTGTGTATTTTAGCAGGATATATTTAACTGACTGATATGTAGAATATTTCCTTTTTTTTATGTTATTGCTACCTTGTATAAATAATACTCATTAAATTGTTTGTAATAAAACTTACCCTTTTAAAGTACCTATAGCTCCCCATGAGCAAGATGTCAACAGGAGCCTTTCATTTTGATCTTTGTCATCTAAATTTCTCTCTTACACCTCTGTCCAGTAGTTGTTTATCCCCCCTCACACAGTTCCGTTTATCACAGGTGTGAGGGGAACTGCTCTATAAGCTAATAGCAGTGCAGGTTCAGTTTGCACATAGCCTGGTTCACAAAACTGAACCAATTTATGTATAAACATCTGCATACATATGTCCATGGTTCTCCTGGGGAGAAGAGATGTCAGTCCCAACACATGTCATGTTGGACAGCTTGCACTTGGCAAAGGTGATAATTCATTCTTTCACTTGTGAAAGGCAGGTTGGAAACTGCCTCCATCATATTTTGTTAAACACTGTGAATGGTATTTTACATGAGGAGTGTAATTGAACAGCAATTAAACAGTTATCTAGGCTTTCCTGGTGTCACTTAAGGTTTTATGTCAAACTGATTGGGAACTAGGACCTTTCCTGGCACTTCTCGACAGCCCCTTCCTTAAACTCATTGATAATGCAGAATCCTACATTGTTTGATTTTTAAACTGGTGTTCCAAAGAATATTTGTTATAATGCACTGGCCTGCCCTGATAGAACAATAAGTGCAGGATTGAGTAGATTATGACTCCAAAGGAACCCACCCTATAAGCCAGCTAACGTGAGAGTTTTAACACTTTGCAGATCAGTTGTTCTTATGAGGTACCCCCCCCCAAAAGAAAAAGTTTAAAGTAACATATTTTTCCATGTATAAGACGATTTTGTTTTTTTTCCTAAAAACAAGATTTTGTTTAAAATTGGGAGTTGTCTTATACACAGAATGTCACTGCAGGGGTTAAAAGCTCCTTTAAAAATCCAATTATTAAGTCAAATACTTATGGTATTTACTCAGCGCCGTTTGGGCACAAAACTTGGCTACTTGCTGACAGAACACTCCACTGATTGTTGGGTTCGCTACTGCTAGGTTCCTGTGGTTATTGCCTTTGTTGTACACCTCTGCGACCTGCTGACATACTTTAAGCAGAGGAGGCACTTCTCAGTGAATTTGATCGATTGTGTGCGCGGGTCTGGGAGATCTCGCCCAACCACATGCTTCCTCGCATCACTCTGGACCACATCAAAACCTTTATGGCTTCAGACTACAGATAGACGCCACCGGGTGTGACCTTGCTGGGACATCCCCAGTAGGGTACCGCAGGCAGAGGGCATCGTTGCTGCCAACACCAGGAACCAGTGTCCGGATGTGGCCAGACCTCGGGGAGTGACCTATCGGAATGTGAGGGGACCCGGGACAGGTGGAGGTTCCTGATCAACCAAACTGAACTTTATTGCTATTTATGTTTAAAATATGTATTTTTAATTTTGGGCTCAAAAAATAGTGAGCGTCTTATACATGGGGGCGTCTTATACACAGAAAAATACGGTAGTTTCCTGCACCATCACAAAATGATTGCTTGTCATCTGTTAGTCTCCTTAAAAAAGAGAATGTCACATTAGGCATACAGTCACAAACTAAAAACAATATGGTTGCACAGCAGTTAACAAATAGTTTAACCCCAAAGTTTTCTCTGCAGCACAGTTTTGCCCTGTTTTTTCCGCTTCTCTCAGATTCTTCAAACAGGAAGCCTCAGACTGCCTTGGACAGGGGCACCACTGAATGGCTTAAGAAACGTATGTATTTTTCTCTTGTTATTTTTTTGAATGGCGAGTTACTAATTTGCTTAGAGCGTCACATGACGTGCTCAGCCAATCAGTACCGTCCCTGTCCGAGGTATCTGAGTGAAGCGGAAGTACAGGCGCAGAGCTAAATGACGCTGGAAAGAAAACTTTGGGGTTGAACTGTTCATAAACAGTTTAACCCCTAAAGGTAAGTGAGTGCCATGGACCTCAGGCACCATAACAAGTTATCATAAAGTTGTTATAGTGCCTGACGTATTCCTTTAATGCGATCCAGCTAATCGCCTCTGGAAAAACAAAATCTTAGCAATACCTTGCATAAAAATCACAGATTAATGTCATGCAAAAGTTCATATTCTAGTCTGAAATTATTCCTTAGAAGTAGTAAAATATTGTCTTGCAGTAACATTAAACTTCCAGGGTTTCAGGTTTTTTTTAAGAGAGAATGGTAATGGATTATAAGGAGTAAATAGTGTTAATAGTATATACTCCAGAAGCCAAAATTAGAAAAAAGTATGTACTGTACAGTTTCCGGTCACAATAAATTGTTAGCCCTCAAAACCAGCTTATAGACCATAATATGTAACAAACAAATCACAGTAATTTTTGTTGCTTTCCATTAGGCAATAGTGGTTAATAGTCTCCAACGGTCCAGGGAATGTGGTGGTGGTGTGATGTAGTAGTGGAAAATAGTTTCCATTGCCAGTAAAAACATTGTCTGTGAATAAAAGTTGGTAATTATAGACACAATCAAAGCAACATAACCACTCGTGCTTGTTTTAGTGGTTACTCTGTATAGAGCCATGGCTTTCAACCAGTGTCTGTTTAGTAAGGCTGTATAGGTTGAATGCAGTCTTTAAATTGTGTTTTCTAATAAGTGTCAGCAGTCTGATTGGGTTTCCAATCTAGCAGTACATTAAATGTGATATTTATAAGCTACTGATCATTGTAAAAGGAAGTAATAGTAGGTGTACCTGAAAATGTTTCTTTTAATAAGATGTTCAATGGTTCCAAAAGGTTGAGAACTATTGGAGTGGTCAGGTGCCATCCTAACATTAGGAACTGAGGCTCTTCCTGATACCCGGACTTCTGCTTCCTCAACTGCATTGGTCATGCAATATTAATTAACACTTGTGCATTATTAATATGTTTTGTCCAAACTGGTGACTTTGAATGGATTAGAGCACTGGTCTAACCTGCAGCCAGCACTCTCTACCTGTCACCACAGTCCAGTTTGGAAAAATCTCCAGCCAATGGGAAGAGGTTTGGTTTATGTCATATCGTTCCTAAATTGTTTGACATAAAACTGAGAGGTCGGACCAGGATACTTTAGGCAGTATAGAAACTACAGCAAGTTGTTGTTTATCTAACTTCACTGATCAGAGCTTGCGCTGAGGGCAACACTTTAGTTTTTCTGTTCAGAAAGGATTAAATAAGATGACATTTAGAAAGCTCACAATAGACTGTACATGATGCATGGTTGGACCGTGCGAGGGCAGGGTTTATGTCAGACAGAGGTGTTGAGATCAGCGCCTGGAGCTTCACCTGACAATGGAGTTCAGGTGAGTTTAACCTTTATTAGTCATTTGGGGGGGGGCTATTAGTAATTCCTAATAGGGCATCTTAAGTAAAAAATAAAATAAAACCAAAATAAAATGTATTTTTAGGGTTGAGTAATCCTTTTTATAGACTGAATGGGCAACTGTGGGTCTGCAAACTTGATTCAGATGAATCTGTAGGCAAACAGTTAATTTAAGTACAACATCGTATGATACTGAATGAGATGTGCTCTTTCAGGTAAAATAACTAAATATCAACTGGTCTGACCATTTGTGAATATGAGACTTTGAAATTCTGTATTTGTAGTACAATTTTGCTGATCTGGACTAAAGCATTCATACTTTAGTGAAATGGCAATACATACATTTGAACAAACAAATATACCAGGTAGCCTTGTTGACTTCAAGGTTCCTCGTCATGGTGGGTCCATCTTGCAGCATTTTCTTGTTTCCCATGTAATTTATGGAGCAGTGGTGCAGGATAAGTACGTTATAAAGTACAGCACAACAAGCTGCGTTCTACAGATTTTATATATTTTAGTCTCATTGCCATTTGTACTGCTTATTGGTTTAGTTCTGTGTTTTGAATTGTAATTGCCATGTTGAAAGGACATTATTTGTAATTGTACTTAACACTTTAGTAGATTGTAGGTATGTTTTAAATGTTTGTGTTACAGTGCTGCAGAATATGTTGGCGCTATATATATAATTTTATAATTGTCATTTTTTCATAGGGGTATGTCTAAAAACACCTTGCACAAACTGCAGATCTGCTGTCTGCAGCCTTTGTAAGCCCCCTTCTTCCCCAGTACAGACTTTCTATGGCTGTCCAACATTCAGTCTATGCCATGGAAATGACCAATCAGAGGCTTCTCACTGGCAATCCTCTGATACTGAGCACTCGGCTTTCTTCCAAAATTTTCCAGGCCAAAAACAGGGCTTAAGTGGACTCTGTGGGAGCACATGACCAGGCCCAAACTGGCCATTGGGCAGATCGGGCAAATGCTCTGTGGGCCACAATGGCTATGGGCTGAGGCTGGCAGGAATGATCAGGAGATCTCCTGTGCCTGCCCATGCAGAGCCAGTGCTATCCGAACAAAGGCCCTGCTGTGTGCCATGACTGGCACCTAAGTGTGGCCGCCAGGAGAAAATACTCAGGAGCTCTAACCAGGAACTCCATCAGGCTCTTTAATCTCACAAGGTTGGAACGTTGCCCCAATTACCATGGCAATGCTCCGTTCTTGCGAGACTGACCTTAAGCCCCATTTCACCACCAGGAAAAAGATAAGTAAGGGAGGGTTGTTATAAAGTGTGTGTGTGTATATGTATGTGTGTGTGTATATAATTTATATATTTTAATTAATTTACATTAAAAATACATATATTTGACTTGATCTGCCCCCACTTACATAAACAACTCCAAACACACACTAGATTCCCTACACACACATCGCATTGGAGTGTTCCTTAAAGGCTTTACTTGGCTTGTGTCTGTTGGATATGAACAAGACAATGATAGGCTATGACATTGACATCCATAGTTGGATAGATTGCAGTGAATTACCAGCATTTCTTATGCAGTTGCAAAGTGGACAAATTTCTGGTGCTGTGGAGAGCCCCGCGGTTTGTCAAATTGCTTGAATGGTTTGACAAAACACTATGGTATCGTAAGCAAATATTCACAGCACTGTAACCACAACAGTGAGCTTGTACGAGTAATGGTGTATAGAGCGCTGCTTTTTATACTTTATTGTATTTAAAAAAAAAAAAAAAAAAAATTTTATTCTTTATTTTAATTTTCTATTGTTATAACAAACATTTTACAGAAAAAAGAGAGGGTTATTGCAGGGTTATTGTGTTGGAGAAGTAGTACAGAGGGAAAAGAAGAGGGGTCAGTTCATATTATTCATAACACATGTATGCAACCCCCAACACACTGCCTGTTAGATTGCGTGCGTATGTGACAGCAGGACAAACATGAACCTTGGGTGGGGTCACCTTGTCGGTTCCACCTGATGGGGGTGCCTCTGGAAATATTACCTGCTGTTCGTCATTCTCCCCAACCCCTCCAGGCGGTCAAGGTGTGCTGGGTATAGCTAAGAGCTATTTGTAGTGGTGGTCTGAGTGCCCCAACCGCCTGGTGGCACGTTGGTGGTGCTGTTGAACCAGTGGTCCAGTCAGGTTTGCGTTTTTCGGTTTAAGTGTGTGTTGGACCCTATGTACCTTAGTTGGGGTCATGCGTCAGGGGTAGCGCCACGCGTCCTGTCATGCGTGCACATAGGGTGCAAAAGTGGTGGTTTCATGGGGGTCAGTGTTCTGGGTGTCAGTCGGAGGGCGCATCCTTTGTTTGCATGGCCTGGGCCCGGGCTCGGGCTCCCGTCTCCTTTTGGGGGGTCGCTATGTGGGTGTGATTGTAGTGGGGGATTATGAGCAGCTAACGGGTTTCTGCGCATGTCCTCACTCCCCTCCATTTGGGTTGATAGGTCTATTGTTATGGGTCATTACCATGGTAGGGTTTTGTCTCCTACTAGCCAGGGGTCCCAAATTTTGTGGAACTGTTTAGGTGTATCGTGTAGTTGTGAGGTGAGTTTGTCCATTTGTAAGCTGTCCTTTATTTTCCTTTTTATGGTATCCTCTGTTGGTTACACAGAGTGTGGACCAGACTTATGCTATTGCACTGCGCGTTGCTAGGGCAATGCGAGCAACCAGTATGTTCTCTGCTCTGGTGAAAGTCTCTATGGATTTTGAGAGTAAGAAGGTCCAGGGGTCAGATGGGCAGGGTTTGCCCATCAGTTTGGTTATTAGTCTTGTGACTCCCTGCCAGAGGGGTTTAAGTTTTGGGCAGGTCCACCAGCAGTGTAGGAATGTTCCCGTCTCTCCACATTGTTTCCAGTAGGTGTTAGAGGCGCTGCGGTGTATGATGCCGAGGCTGTGTGGTGTTAGGTACCAGTGGAACAGCATCTTATAGGCTTGTTCCGCGTGTGTGATGCAGATTGATATGCAGATCCCATATGTCCGCCCAGTTATATGTATCTTCAGGGGGTCCCAGGTCTGCTTCCCACGCTGCTATGTAAGGAAATGTGATTTGGGTACGGTGGGTTGCTATGATTATTTGTCCCTTCCTGGAGGGGTGTGTTATGCAGTCTTGTTCGAATCGGATGAGCTGAGCTGTTCCAGCTTGTTTTATTATTGGGGTAGAGGCGAAACTGCGTAACTGTATATCTGAAGTGATCAAAGGTAGTTAGGGAGGCTGAATCTTTGATGTCCGTGAATTGAATGATCGCGTTGTTGTGGTACAGATGGCTTACTCTCGTTATGTCCCTTTGTTCGAAGCGGGCAAAGTGTTTTGGGGTAAGGCCTAGTTGGGAATAGCTTCTTCCTCCAGATTGGGGTCATGGGGGAGAGTTCAAATTTGCCTTGTAATCTATCCCATAAATCTAGTTGGTGTGATCACGTGTGGTTTGGGTGCCCACATATATAGGGATGGGTGATCCCAGCCGAATAACAGGTGTTCTAGATCCACCCATCTTTTTTGTGTGGCAGGTTGTGCCATTGTATTTTTTTTTTTTTTTTTTTATCAAAACATTAATATGAATTATTGAAGCATTGTTATTACAAAGGATTCACTCCTGTGGTTAATTTATAATAATTATTGTTGTGTTTGATTTAGATGTCCTTGGTAGACTTGGGAAAGAAGCTTTTAGAAGCTGCACGTGCTGGTCTAGATGATGAAGTTCGTATCCTGATGGCAAATGGGGCCCCATTTACTACAGATTGGGTAATTATTTCTGTTCATTGTTTTTAAATACTGTTGTAATATAAAATGAAAATGTTTAAAGCAGCACTATCTTATTTTATATGGTTTTCACCTTATTTGTCTGTCACTTTTCTTATCTACTGACATTTTCATATACTTCATTAAAAAAACCTACGTTGTTTAAAAACTTTGAGACTATTTATTATATGAAAAAGCATCTTGAGTTGTCTGTTGCCATTTAAGCTCTGCTCGCTGTCAAACATTACACTGCCCAAATGTTATACATGTTTTTTTTTCTTATGTATAGGTAAGGTGAATTAAAATAAAACCAAGGGGAAATAGAATGTCAAAAATTATATATTTATAAACAAAACCTGCAAAGTGGTTGCCCCTTTGTCTCTCTCTACTTTCTCCCCCTTCAGGAACCTTTTTGTCCCATTTTACTAGTTTGCATTGCTTCCCACCAGTTTGCCTTCATTTGCTAATCCGTTTCAAACAGCCAGCTTCAATCTAGTCTGATTCCATTTTATTAGCTATTTTAGCTGTTTGCTTTGATCATTTGAGGATTACTAATTTTGTGTTCCCTGGAGAAAAGCACCAAATAAGCTTTGCAAACTAGATACAATAAACTCTGATTATATATTGCCTTTCTCTTCCATAGTCCCGAAATGCTTTGTGCATTCATGTGCTGGGCATACATTGTTCTTTGCATATACTGTAATGGGCTGCATGCTGAGAATCTTGGGAAATCTGGATTTTTTTGATTTAAAGTGGTTTTCCAAAACTACTATTTTTACTTTGAATTTTAAATTTACTTTCAATTCTCACTTTAGTGAATAACCCTGCTAGTATTAAAAGTACTGTGAAATGGAGAAGTGTTCACTGTTTGTATTATTTACAGTTGGGAACATCCCCACTCCATTTAGCAGCTCAATATGGTCACTATTCCACAACTGAAGTTCTCCTTCGAGCTGGAGTCAGCAGAGATGCAAGAACAAAAGTGGACAGGACTCCACTGCACATGGCAGCTTCAGAGGGACATGCAAGCATAGTAGAAGTGCTAATTAAGGTGAATCATTTTTAATTATGCTACAGGAATATTTTATTTCTTGCTGGTATATTTTATGTATAGAAATAAATGATGTATATCGCACTAGCTTGGGGACTAATTCTTTATTTGGACCAAGTGTGACATGGTTAACATTAAAAAATTTTGTTTTGCAAATTACCTTTATTAGATTTTTACTGGTATGATATGGGTCTCTTTGCCAATAAGAAAGATATAGCAGCTACAGGAAATAACTTGCCTTTGGTAGTTGCCTAGGTGTTGATGAATATGGTATAGCAGCACAGAGGGGCTGCTGGGGAATATCTTTTACAATTAAACCATTAAAATGTTTTGACACTAAATGGAAGGACATCTCCAGTGAACTCCAGACACTATAACCACTTCAATAATATGCAGCAGGTAAAGTGCCTTCAGTGTCCATTTAAGAATCACTGTATTGGGCAATGGTGTGATTACAATACCATCAAGATGCTCCTCACTTGCATTACAGAACCCTGTAATAGTCACTGCCGTAGTATGAGTATATTACATTTTAATTTTAGTTCTCGTCTTCATCTGGAAATTGTTATTCAATTATATATTTTATACCAAGCATTAGATGGTAGAGCTGCTAATACCTTACTTTTTTTCGGTTTCTTATTTTTCCTCACAAGTGGACAAGGGTGTGATACATTTAGTTTGTCTATAGGCCAGGGATCGTCAAATCTCAGGCACCAGGTTGTCATGGCGACTAGGAATTCTGTATTTGCACCTGGGACTTGTGAACCCATTCACTCTGAGGCGGGCAGCTGAAGGAGAATGCTGGTTCAGGCATTGGTACTTTAGTGGCTAATCTCAGTAGTATAGGTGTATAAAAATCCTTAAAGGGTCATGGGAAATGTGGATCAACAAGTGACCCGTTACTGTGCTTTAAGCTACACAACATGATTTTTGCTGGTTTTGTGACACGGAATGGAGAGGGTCAAGAGCTTAAAGTAATACTTACTTGTACAGCATTCTGTAATTTTTGTAACGTTTATGGTTCTTAATTTGATCACTCAATATCAATTTCTGATCCAAGCATAACATTTATATTTATCAGTCAAAGAGCAGTGACTTCCACAAATGCTTCAATAGGCACGTTAAGTGTTTTGTCAGAACTGTATGTTTAATTTGTACATGGCTGGTTGAGCAAATGGTACTTAAAATGCTTCTTCTTGTATGTGTCTGTAATTGCATATACCTGTAGCATGGTGCTGACATCAATGCCAAAGACATGCTGAAGATGACCGCTCTGCATTGGGCAACTGAACACAATCATCAAGAAGTTGTGGAACTATTAATTAAATATGGGGCAGATGTGCATACCCAAAGTAAGTTCTGCAAAACTGCATTTGATATCTCAATGGATAATGGAAACGAGGACCTTGCAGAAATCCTACAGGTAATTATAACTCCAAACATAAAAGTGGATATCTGTTTGGGAAAGTTAATACTAACAGTTTTAACAGTTATTTATTTTATTAAGCATCAGTGCTGTCTGGCATTACAATATAATAGTGGCTTCAAATGTCTTATCAAGTAGTGTCCCTAATGCATGGTCTGTATTGTTTGCCCCAGTGCAGTAACACCAATGGTTTACTTCCATATAAAGCAAATGAAAATGTCAACATTCATTGTTTTAATGAAAAATCTCCAAATGGTATTAGATATATTTAGCAAACTAAGAGAACACCTATAAACTATACTGTCTTGAAACTGTTTCATTAAGACACTATTTAGCTAAGAAATGTGCAGTATGGTAATACACAGTCTTTCAAATGCTGCCAATAAAAAAAATAAAAAAATATAATATAATATATATATATATATATATATATATATATATATATATATATATATATATATATATATATATATATATATATATATATATATAAATATGAATTATTACCTTTCTGTGTTTCCTTTGCTTGTTTTGTTGTTTTTACTTTTAAGGTTTCTTACATTTTTAACCTTACTGTCTTTCTGTTGGTATTTGCATGCATACAACCCCATTGCTTTTTGAAGCTGGCAGTCTCTAAAAAATACCTTTATTACAGCACCAGGTCAGGGTCATTGTTGAAGTCACATTGTTGACTGCTTTTGTCCAATCCAGTTCTTCTCATAGAGAAGCATTTGCAGCATAGGACACATGCTGCAATCAACACCCTATGCCAATTAAATATTTTTATAGAAAGGCACTGCATTAAGTGCTTCTCTGTTATAAGCATTAGATGCATTTGGGGTCATCATGTTGGGTGTGGTGATGCTGAACATGAAGACATTTGATTTTCAAAGGTTTTAAATAGGGAAAAATTCCTATTAGCTGTAAGTATAACCGCTACTGTAGGTGTGGTTTTGGACAAATGTAAGCTTTGCTGTTTCTCAGATATGATTTGCTTTGCACAACCAAACTAAGGCCTCGGTTTAACAAGCTTGTCAAGGCCAAAGTTATCTATAGGGGTAAATTTTTATTTATTTTTATTTTTATTAAGTTTTAAGATCTTTGTCATAATGCTTGTCTATTTGTGTGTCGAGACTGGGTATGACTGCAGAAGTCATGAATGATTACAGCGCAGTGAAAAGGGAAAACTTATGCATGGGACAAGGTTTCTTGAATGGGAAAGTGAATAGCTAAAGGTAACATGGAGAGTTGAGGAAATATGAATGTGAGGGATATCTGTGTATTGTATTATAATATAAAGATAAGTCCTTTCAATGTGCACCACGTTGGCATAATAAATCACCCCCCAAACCTTTTTTTTTTTTTAAACCTAATGTCATTTACTGTTGTCTGTTCTGCAAATCCTCAACAATTTGTTTTCTTCTTGTAAACAGTAAATACTTAAAATGCAGCACTCCAGAAGAACCAAATTATTAATTGCTAAGATTCTAAATAGATAATCACGAACAGCAGATTCTTTCTCTCAGCGAAGACAAAGGTGAAATCAAGCTGAGCATGCAACATTTGCACAGAAAATCTAGCACAGGCAACCTAGAACTCTTGTTATGGGCTGCCGGAATTACAGCTCTTTGGCCTGAAACATTTTTTGGGGAAAAATCTGGAAAACTGCAGCTCTAAATCACTATCCAGCTGAGAGTGGCTGTTTGGTACTCTGTGCACCATCAACCTTGCAATTATACAAAGTGGCGATGGTGCTTAGACTGACCCTTTTTAATATTTTGTGCTAATACATGTATATTTCTCAATTTTATGTTTCTAGTAACTGAAATGTAATGTGTTTTTTTGTTTTTTGTTTTTAGATTGCAATGCAAAACCAAATTAATACAAATCCAGAAAGTCCTGACACTGTGACAATACATACAGCTACACCACAATTTTTTATCGGCCCTGGAGGAGTAGTAAACCTAACTGGTGAGCAAAAAGCCATTTTTTTTATGTTAAAAGGAAAGAGTGTTTATGACCAGCATTACATGCAGCATAACTTAAAATGTTTCTTCTAGATTGTGTACTTACTGAAAAATAAATATGTGAATAGATACAAAACAGAGTAGCCTAACGTAATGCAGTGCTGCCATAATTTTAATGTTATTTGGATTGAAACACAATTCTTTTTAGAGGTCCTCTTTCTCCAATAGAAATTTAGCTTCTGGTTATGAATGTATTTAGTTGGGTTCTCCGTTGCCTACTTTAGTTAATGCTTATTTCATTTCAGAGTATGTGTGGATTTACTCCATATTGCTTTTTTAACAAATAGTGAAAACTATAAAATATTCTTTTTGTTATCAGATGACAATGGAGTTGCATCTACAGTACAGTTTGGAAACTCCTCAACATCAGTTTTGGCTACATTGGCAGCCTTAGCTGAAGCCTCTGCTCCTTTGTCCAATTCATCAGAAACACCAGGTTGGTATACACCTTTTCAGTAGACATATGTTTTCTTGGCATAGAGTAGACAATAATTCCTTTCAGGGAAAGAATGTTAAGAAAAGCAGAAGAATCTATATGGTCTCCTCCTAAAACTGAATGAAGCAGTTGATGGGAGATTCCACAGCATTCTAATTGTTAAAAAAGGCAGTTTGACTTTTTGCAGTTTCACTGTATTGTGGAATGTGAGAGACCTAATTTAACTTCAGATCCCATCATCATTTTGCCCAAAAAAAGAGGATCAGTGCCATTGTCAGTGATATATCTAAATGCTTATTCTTTTCAGCTAGATCCTCCAGAAAATGTGCCCAATCCTATGGTTATGACATTGTTTATTATCCTTCACTGTAACATTATCTTACTCAAGTGACAGATAAGTTTTAAATCTTCTTAATGGCATTTGAAGAGTAAATTACTTTCATGCAAAATTCTATTTTTCTAGGTGTGAGTCTTGTATCTTCCCTTTTGCAATAGAAGATGCATATACAGGGTTCTTAACTAAAGTGAGAATGCAGGGTGGATTTCAGATTTGAGGTCAAAATGGCCAAACTGGAAACATTCTTTAAACCAGCTATGCTTTCAGTTTGGCTATTCTGGCCTTAAACAAAAAAATTCTTTGAATTCAGTTTGTATTTCACTTTAGTGCATAATCCTGATAGTTTGCCTTGTTAATTGTTTGATTTAAGCTAAGAATATGCTGAAAAGTGTTTTACTTTATTTTAAGTCTGAACCAAAAAATAATGAATATTACAGGTTCTGTAGGGCATAGTTTTCCAGTCTGTGTTTTTTGTTTGTGCTAGTCGTGACATCGAACTAAAATATATATATTTTGTGTTTTCCTAGAGTTAAAAAAAAAAAAATGTCTTTTATTAAGAGAATATTTGGCTTTTCAAAATAATGGTGTAATTAATTGTAAAGATGAAAGCTTAAATTATAGTAGAATATGTCTGATCCTAGATTCCAGTCATGACGCAAAGGCAGACATTTTATATTCACTCTAGATACAAAAAGCTTCCACTATCCAGACAAAATCACAAAAAAATATCAAAGACTACATACTGGCGAGGGTTGAGTAGTTTGTCTTTGTTGTAGTAAATTGCAGCAAAAAGTGGCTGCTGGCTTTCAGTAATATTTAATGAAGACCATTTCATTCTTAAATTATTTTAAGTGTATTATACAGCATCTAGCATTTGACTAAAATTACATTTTCCTGGTGAAATTATTACCCATGTTGTTCTTAAAATAAAATATTTGCACATTTTACGTATTTATGATGTCAAGTTTTGATGTCTTTCATGATAAAGCTACAGCTTACATTAATATCAAATAAAATATATCTGCTGTCTCTCTTGTTAATTTCTGTTTTAATAATTTAAAATAGTTTCATTTAATCTTTGGTCAGAGAGAAATATTTAATCATAAATATTATATGATTACATTGTATATGTTAAACAAAACAGTGCTTCTATGCCAGACCTATTTTATGCAACAGGTTAACCATTTAAATGTACATTACAAGCACCATAACCACTAACCAGGAGTGCCATGGCACCCCCACATATGGGGAGAGGACACAATGTAAGAAACTGTTAGTTTGAATATTACATTTGAGGGCTGTAGGGCACCAGAACCACTACACTGCTCTTAAATGGTTAACATCATCGTAATTTAATCACTCTGGGACATTAGATGGTGGTGTAGGTTGTTTAGGGATTAGAGTGTAATGATGGCAAAGTGTAACATGTGATGTGTAAAATGGTTTAAATAAAAACAGGGTACTGTAAATCTGAGGAATACTCCGTTCCGATTGATGTTTAGACCCAAGTTTTTTTGTGTTTTTTTTTTTTTTATTTTTTTTTTTATTGAAGGTAAAGTAACAGTAACTTACAAAAAAAATCATCTGTTTTTGCTGTCCGGTTGAAAACCTAATAACATCACCAATAACCTTCTGGAAGTTCCTTGAGTAAAGACTTGTCTCTGAGAATTATCTTTAAACAATGTCTTCTATTATTTCTTTAGACATAATTTTTTTTTTTTAGCATATTATAAACCTTATTCAAGAAACTATTTATTTGTTTCGATTAATTAACTCCCATTATATCTTTGTTTCTTGCTAGTAGTGGCCACTGAAGAAGTGGTAACTGCAGAGTCAGTAGATGGGGCGATCCAGCAAGTTGTAAGCTCTGGAGGGCAGCAGGTTATTACTATAGTGACAGACGGCATCCATCTTGGAAATCTCCAAACTGCTATCCCAACCAGTGGTATAGGTCAACCAATTATAGTCACAATGCCAGATGGTCAGCAGGGTAAGTATGTTTTTCAATGTTAATGGACTTAATATTTCCTGCTTTGTAAAATTAATGTCTAAGAAAAAAAAAATGGATACTGCTGATCAATATGCAACGTATGTGTTGTGTTTTGGAGTTATCAATCCAATTTAGCATATTGATATTCTAATAAATTATTAATGACTTTGTTATTGAAACAAAAAACAATCAGGGGTTGCTGGGATCATCAAGTAACAGGGCAGTGTAAGATACTCTGGCCTGTCCTCTTTAAAATTAAAATGTATGTGCATAATTTGCCTTTTACCCTATAAAATGCCTAAAGAATTTTATTTATTATGACAAGGTGTAACCCTGACCAGGTGTAATTTACCACTATAATGTCTTAAAGAATAGAATTAAGCATGGCATACCGTACATATATCTTGGCTATAATATATAGTTAGTAAGAGTTTGTCTGTTTAGCCCCTTAAGGACCAAAGTTCTGGAATAAAATGGAATCATGACATGTCACACATGTCTTGTGTCCTTAAGGGGTTAAAATATATAAATACAATAAAACATAGGGATTGTTTTGGAAACAATAACATTTTGCCTTTTAATATATTTTTTTTAAATATGAATAAATATAGACCTATAAACACTTAAAAATACATTCTAAAAATGTACAGCAGAGTTTATATGATTAAAGTATATGGTTGCAATATCAGAAAATAGAACATGTCAATGTCTCGGTCTTGTCAGATGCAGCAGCATCAATTCTCCTCTCTCTGACTAATATTAATAAATACACATAGTTTTAACTTAGATTTTCAATTAGGTCATGTTAGGAAAACAAATCTAACTTAACGTTGCAAAGTGATGAGGCCATGACTGATAAAAATGTTCCCATGTCACTTAATAGTCTATTGTCATGACCCAGACATCCTAATCTATGTTGGACTAAAACTTAAGGGACACTATATAGTAACTAGAACAACTACAGCTTATTGTATTTGTTCTAGTTTAATCATTCCATCCATGCTTTTTAAGTATATATTTTTTTCAGAATATGCAGTGTTTACATTATAGCCTAGAGATACCACCATTGGTCACTCCACTTATGGCTACTAGAGGTGCTTCCTGGGGCAGTGCTGCACACTGTGCAGCATTGACATTCAGTTTCTCCACCCTATGCATGTAGACCTTGGACTTTTCTCATAGACCTGCATTGATTCAATGCAACTCTTTGAGGAGATGCTAATTGTAGATTATGCTAGCTTTAGTGTACCTATAATCTTAATTTTATTAATGACAGGAGGCTTCGTATTTGATTAAGTCTCTCTTTACTAGAACTCCACAGCAGCACAGAAAAACAACCAATCAGAAAAAGTTAGGTACTATAAAACTCCCCTCCACATGCATCATTTCCTCTTTCAAGCTGCGACAAAACAGAACAAAAGGCAGAAAATATAATGGGGAAGAAACAAAGTCCTAGATACAATGAATACAACAACGTCCACCATCCGAGAAGAACTGTCAAACCAGATAGCGCTGATGGACTATAAACTGAAACGAGAGAAAAAACAGAATCTAACAGGTTGGTTAGCCAATGAAATGTACTCTGAACAAACATGTAGGTACCCTATGTAGCAACCAAAATTACCATAGCCTGCATAGATCCCAACCCTACTATGACAAAACAGACATAAAACCAAGTGACTGGTAGCAGAGACAACAAGCAGAGTTGCATATGTATCTGATGAACCCAAACTATTAATTTAAACAAGGGAGGGATAAGAATGGACGGGAAATACTCGCCTCCTGTCATTAATAAAATTAAGATTATAGGTACACTAAAGCTAGCATAATTCTGTGAGGAAATAGAATATAGAAGGAGGACCCTCCAAATCCGACTCACGTTCTCCAGAATTTGTTCTCAGATGAGTAGCGGCAGACATGTCATCTTATCTCAAGAGAGTTAATGACCAGGGAACCCAAGTCGACCGAGGAATCCCGTCTTTCCACGCTTTCCATGTGTACGGTGCACTTGCAAACTGGGTTGTGGGTATTCCCTAGTCTTGTTACCTGAGTACGGCAGTGTGTGTTTGCTCTCTGAAGGCCTCAGGATCTCTTGTCACCTTGACATGGGAAAAACTGTCAGCGCAGTTTGTTTGCAATGGTCTGTGTAACCTAAACAAAGTGCGATAGCATGCTTGCTATAGCGTCGATTATACCGAAACCTGCACTGAGGCTCATCCGTTAGGCGTACCGTCTCCAGGAGTACATCCAAAAGGACTGGTGTAGGGTCACTAACAAAATGGGTCAATCCTGGGAGCTGAACCAAGATGACCAGGACATACAGCCCCTATACTGTCCCCTAAAGTCTCCGGGGTGTGTGTGAACACGCGGGGAATCTCCCCCCGTAGTACCTCATAGAGTATTTCTCGTGTGGCGATATAGTGGCCCAGATTCAGTAGATCCATTATAGAAGGTGAAATGGAGGAATCCAGTTTAAACATGTATACCTTGCATGATCAGGCCGCCCTCAGTAACGAAATCTGTAGCACTGTCGTTTGATCTAGTGGAGGGATTCTCTCCCTTTGTCCAGCTGGTATGAAGCATCTTCTCCCTTGCATACCGGTGCGGTACTATACCTCTGTACCAGAGCTGAAGTCTCAGCGGTAAGGTAGGGACCTCCATATTGTATGGAATGTAGGAGGGACACCCCTCTATGCTGTCCTCGTTGCCCTGCACTGAAAAATAGGTGACACCGTAGTGCGTTGAGTGTATGAGAGAGAGCCGCAATCTCTAATAAATGTGACCGAACTCCGTGTCAGCATCTAGCTTATAGCCTGAGCGGGCCGCACCCGTTAAAAACAAAATTTAGAATCTACATCCGTGTCCGGATTCTTCTATGAGATTGTGACACACTCAAAACAAGTCCTCTGTATCCCTCTCCGTGTCGGGCAGAGGTTGAGGGAGGACCGTGCCCTCTAATAAGGAATCCTTGTCCGGTTTCGTATATGAGAGAGGTTTGCTCTCTACTCGTGTAAATAAAATTTCAGTCTCGGGCAGAGGCAATGGAGGGCCGCACCCTCTTGTAATCCAAACTAGAGTCCATATCAGATTCAGGGTGACCAACTGTGGGGCTCCACAATTTAATATCAGTGTACAACTGAGGTCCAGAGGGGGTCCCTCTCTGACCACGAGACCTCTCTCTGAATCATTCACCTGAGAGGTGGGATCAACTGGTAGTAACCCAGAACGCTGGTAGACGGAGTAGTACACAAACTTCGGGCCATGCCACTCTACAATAACAGAAAGGGGTGATGCGAGAATGCAACCTCTGGAAACGATGATGGAATCTATCAATGGACCGCTCGGATCCCGTGCGCGTGCACGGGGTCCCGGATGACCGCCAGCAGTCTAAGGAAAGCTGGTGACGTTCTCTGCGATCCACAAGAGCTCGGGAGGTCTGAGGAGGTCAACTCAGGCCTCTCGACGACCAGAGCAATAGGAAAAGGAAAGGTACGAAAAAAGAAACGATAATAATAGTGTAGATAAAGGTAAATACATACCTCGGAGAGAATATGCAAACAGTAGACCAGAAGAGCAAGTCCAGTAAACCCCTGCAAAGGGCCAGAGGTTAAACATGACGCAGGGATAACTACCGATACCTAAGATGGATACCGGAAGGCAGCTAAATGGTTAGTTGCTAAGGGCAAGGAAACACCGTGCCCCCCCTCTTGGCGTCTGAGCACTGGTCACTGCCTGTGCGAAATTTCTCCTTGGAGATGTGCCGCCATTGGGTTGGTGTAAACCGTGGTTGCGTGCTCGAGAACCATTATAAAAGCCTCGACTTTTAGGGCATGAGGTTTTAGGGCCTTCACCCTTCCAATCATACTCAGGTGCTCGTATACCGGTGTCTTCCTGGATAGTATGGCAGCAGTGCTTGCCTGGACACCTAGCCATCTCCATGTCAATAGTGTGCACTGGGCTTCCTCAGTGCTATATTCCCAGGCCTGCAGCCAAAGGAGAATTCAGGCCCAGATAGATCAGGCCAACAATGAGCACATATGTAGCAGGCCAATCCATGGGGCACATACGTAGCAGGCCAATCCATGGGGCACATACGTAGCAGGCCAATCATAAGGGCGCAGACAGAGCCGGCCATACACAGGAGTTGTGTTCTGACCGCTGCAAGGGCCAATCTGCGTAGAACAAGTCGTGTGTGTGTGTGTGTGTGTGTATATATATGTGTGTATATATATATATATATATATATATATATATATATATGTATATGTGTATGTAATATATAGGGAATTGTATATCTGTAATACTATACAGTAATGTGCTGCAGGAACCTCAGAGCAGTACATGGTGTACTACCTATGGGCTGTTCTTCAGCCCAGTAAAAATATACTGTGTGTGTGTGTGTATGTATATGTATGTATGTATATGTATATATGTGTGTATATGTGTATATATATATATATATATATATATATATATATATATTCTCAGAAAATTGTAACTTAGCATCCTTTTATTGAAGGTTCAAGCTCATAGCTGCAATCAGACCAACTAATCTGACATGCAGCTAAAGGCATGTATACAGCTCCATGTGCAGATAGATGAACACTGAGCTAGGTGTAGGCAGACCTCCAACAAGTAATGTACTGACGGGGGAGGGGTTGCGAGCGGTCGCATTCTCCCCCAGTCGTCCTCTCCCCCGCCCCGTCAGACACACGCGGGCGGAGGCAGCCACATGGAAGAAAAAAGATCAGGCCGCCGGGTACTCGTGCGCGCACGCGAGTACCCCCCTCGACCGGAAAAGCACATGGGACCGCCAGAGAAGAACTCCGCAGTCCCGGATCTCGGGGATCGAAGGAGGCAGATGCAGTCAGCCTCCTGAAACCCCCGAGCGGCACACACACCGCCAGGCAAAGGCGGAAGGCACACAACATGAAAAAACGGGTATAACAATGGGAAATGGACAGGGGGTGGGCACAAGTCCAATGAAAAGACCGCAAGGACCCCAAAGACCCGCCTTAAATCCACACAAATATAGGAAAGTCCAGTGAGAGTCTAAAGTTACAGGCACTAAGAAAATCCCACAAAAATATATAACACAGCATTATTGGAATAAAATCCCATAAGGGCATAAACAATATTGAATACATAAGAATAAAATCTCACAAGTGTAAAATAAATTACTGAATATAAGATTAAATCCCACAAGGGCAATCTATAATATAGAAGATAAAATACTGAAAATATAAGACTAAATCTCACAAGGACAATATAAAATATTGAGTATAAGCAATAAAATCCCAAAGCCACCCACTAAGAGCAGGAGGCAGCGGTACACTGACCTGTACTGACTGCAGAGCAGTAGTGATGTCGCGAACTTGCCGTGAACGGTTCGCTGCGGTTCGCCACGAACTCCGGTCAACTGACACATCCCTGCCAATCTCCGGCAGACCCTCCCTCCCAGACCCTCCTACTTCCTGGACAGCATCCATGTTGAAGGCAGCGAACGGTTCGCGGCAAGTTCGCGACATTACTACAGAGCAGCAAAGAAAGAGGAAATGATGCATGCGGAGGGGTGTTTTATAGTACCTAACTTTTTCTGATTGGTTGTTTTTCTGTGCTGCTGTGGAGTTCTAGTAAAGAGAGACTTAAGCAAATACGAAGCCTCCTGTCATGTTATAAAATTGGACAGGGCTGTGTTTGGCTTTTGCTGGCTCTGCCCCTGATCTGCCTCTGTGACATTCAAAGCCAATCACGATGCTTTCCCATAGGGATGCATTGCATTGGCTGAGACTAACACTTCTGATGATGTCAGCCAAGCAGGAAGATCAGGTTTAAGGTAGGACATGAAGCAGGTAAAGCATTGACTTGGTGTCACATTAACCTAGGACAAGATGGTGTCTAAACATCTAATGCACTGAATAGGGGGTAAGAGTTAATTTATTAAAGAAACATTGTATGAAAAACAATATTTTCTGTTTCTGACATCTTGTCAGTTTTCAAAATTCCTTAAAGACAAAGTACACAGTTTAAGAAATACAACACTTCATTCTAAAAAACGTGTAATATTTGCATATTCCAATAACACAGGTGTCTGCATGATGTGTTGGTCTAAATTTAATGTGCATGTTTTGTTTTTTTTTGTTCTTTTTTTTTGAATTTGGCTTTAATCTAGTGTTGACTGTACCAGCCACTGATATTGCAGAAGAAACTGTGATTAGTGAAGAGCCTCCTGCCAAAAGGCAGTGTATTGAAATAATTGAAAATCGTGTTGAATCTGCAGAAATTGAGGTAATTACGACTATTACTACACCATACTCAGATGCATTTATAATACAAAATGTATGTATATTACATATCATTACATTATATCTCTTAAAATCATCCTCCAACAATTGTAATTGACTGCAAAGGTGTATATATGTGTTTTTTGTTTTGTTTTTTTTTTCTTTTTCCGAAACACATTCATTAATATTATTATAATTATTATTATTATTGAATCTGTAGCATTGTCTTTTTCAATATTTCTATTAATTTGGTTGCATTTGAAAAAGACATAATGTTACATGTAATATTAAAAATGTTTAGTTAAGAGAATAATTCTTGATATAAACCTATAACTATTGCTCTCCACTTGATAATTTGTTCCTCTTTATTGTGCAGTATATGGAAGGAAGATACCTAATGAATATACAGTATCTATGATTTGCATCATCTCAGATTTTCCCATTTACATGATGTGAAATCAAGTGCCTTCAGCTCTTACAGGTGTGCAGTACTTATCAGCACTTTTTGGGTGTTCTTCTGTAGTTCTTGCACCACCTCTTTAATTGGAATAATCTCTCACACCTGTCTCCGAAAAAATAAAAAAATAAACATGTTACTTGGTCGTTTTGATGCTTTGAATGACCTATATGCAACTGCAGTACAGTAAGATGCAAACCTCAGTGCCAGGAAGGATGAAAACTAACTTCCTTATTTTATTGCTAGGGCCTACTTTGTAAAGCAGCTGCCATACTATCTGATAAAAACCTAAAGATGCTGCTGTTTTGCCCTCCCCCCCGCCCAACCCAGTGACCTTTTGCTAAATGGGTTTCATATAACCCATATATATCCTGTATATTGTGCCTGAACCTCACTTTTGTTTTAGCTTAACTCGCTAAGGATTATGGCTATATTGTAGTTTTAGGAGCTGAGTTATTTTTTTGTGTGTGTGTATGTGTCTGTTTGTTTGTTCCAGAAGTTCCACATCCCATTACACTCCGCATTGAGGGTGGACTTCAAACATCTGCAGTCCTCCATTATTGATGCCTCTGGAATTTCTTGGACTTATGCAAAAGTTTGTTTTGGACAGTATGTCCAAGTCAAATGCTTTTTAATCCACACCTGAATAATCAATTGTCTGGGTTTATCCAGTGGAGTCTTATTCTATAAATATGAATCCACAGATAAATCCCAGATGATCAATTTGTCCAGGTGTAGATTTAAAAAAAAAATATTTAATTAGGATGAACTGTCCGAAACAATTATTTGCAAGCACCTGAGAGTGCAAGCTTAATGCTGACTGAATGTTTGAGAAACAGATGAAATGAAGATTTGCTCTTAAAAGTACTTCTTTGTTCCAGAAAGACTGATGTTTCATGTATTTACTTGGTGCTCGTCTGCGTTGCACACTGCAGAGTTCTGAAGCTGAATTGTTGAAATGATGTTGCTTTTTTCTAGTTTTCTGGCTAACTGCTGGACATATTGCTTCTTTTACATTTAAAAGGAGCATTTCAAGCACCATAACTATTACAGCAAGCTAAACAAACTAGAACACCACTGGGGAATTTCATGGGCCTATGATCCCCAATGCTCCTCTATGAGGAGCATTGGATTGTCCCGTCATCCTGGAGGCACGCCTCCAGGATTACACAACCCAAGGAGGAGGCTGTGACCGCTCCAATAGAGACTTGGCGCTGGAGAAAAGGTGAGCTATTTTGATTTTTTTTGTTTGTTTGTTTTATTTTACATGGGGTGAGGTACATAACTGATAAGGGGCTTCTGGGCTGTACCGTTGGGAGTACAAATATGCATTCCTAATGCTACAGTGTTCCCTTGATGAAAAATGGCAAGGTAATGGCAAAGTGTCATCCCTCTTAAAGGGTACCTGTCATGACAATACAACTTTGTTTTAAATTATAGAGAATCAGATTTCATTTATACATTGTGCTAGCAGCTTTTCTCCCCACCTGTCAGTGAGTTCAGCACAGAGATAAGAAGGCTGTGCTCTGCTTGTCTGTTATCAGGTAAACCCTGCTCTGGGTATCTATCCTTCAGCATAAGGGAAAGCAAAGTCTGCAAAGGGAAGTAGGGAGGAGGGGCAGGCTCTGCGTGAAAGCAGCAACAGCTTTGAACAGGCAATCTAAGGATGGTGGGAGAGAGAACCGATAAGTTTTATTTACATACCACAAAGCCAGAACAATGTGTTGGGGATTTCTAACCTGTTTTTGGAAGCATGTCGTGCTTCCCAAAAGGGAATGCAGGAGAGGTGTGTCTTACAGCGAATGTAAACCCACTGAAAACAAGATGCTCTCAGTTGAAAACAGCGATGATTAAAATTAAAATATGAGCTTTTAATAGTATTAAGGGAAGAAACACTTAATTGCATAACATGAGCAAAAGGAGCCAAGCCAGATGGTTACAAACTGCAAAACTGTATCTGTCATGACAGGTTCACTTTGAGTGCTGCAAGGGGAAAGGGATTTAGTTAATGCCTGCAATTTCAAGGAGAAAAGTGTGTTTATTAAATGTGTTGGGGTTTTTTTTTTGTTTTGTTTTTTCTCCAATTTTTTTTTTTTCCTTTTCCATTTTGAATTCTGTGAGCTCACAAATTCTATAATGTTCTTGTTATACTTTCTGGATAGTTGCTCTCTTTAATATTAAAAATTTCAGGGACCCTAAACTCCTATGCTCTTTATTATGGTTAATAGATTCAAAGAGCCCCCTGATTTCAATATTTCTTGATTCTCTCCATTACAGCTGCAGCAATTTGATGCTCCCTGCTGACTGTAAAAGTTATTGGAAGCATATGTATGCTAGTGCTCACACTGTACAAGTAACTCATACTTGCTGTCTTCTTATGTTTTGTAAGAGACCGTGTAATATAGCTGCACACACACACACATATTTGAGAATTCCTTGGTGAAAACATGAATTAATCCAGTTAACAAGTTTAAAAGTACTTAATCCACCCTGGATAGGTTTGTGGGACATACCGATAATCCTGTTTTAAAACAATAGGAGAAACGTGATTAGCTGATAAACTTCACTTTTTTTCCTGGCTGCTACAAAAGCAAGGATAATGCATTGGTGTCCATATTATAACTTACTGCTTAATACGTTTATTGCTTTGAGATATAACAATGTCCACCAAATAAACCAGCATCTGCAATTCTAATGGTGGAATTGTTCCTCAAGGAATTAGTCGAGCTTATCTTGTTCTAGATTGTTCTACCTATTGGCAAACCTGGAATCTATTAATGCAAATGTGCTTATGATTCTAAAGAATCCAGCACAGAGGATACAGAGCTCCACTGGAAGCAAGTGAGACAGCCATATTGACCATATGTCTGCTTATGCTCCCACACATTTCACAATTATTTGTTGGAGTTTATTTTTGATCACTTGCTGTTCATGCGCAGTCTAAACTATAACTAACTATCATTGCTGTTTATGAATCCTTACATTTGATGTAAATAAGAGTGACTGCTTCTTATTACAAAGGCTAAAACATAGTATTTTTTAAGTAGTTACCGTGCACATTGGCATCACTATTAATATTGTCTAGCTTTTTTTACCTTTCCTTTTAATTCTTGTTTGATCTACCAGATTCCAGAAACTTCTGGGTCAGAATTCTATATTGTGAATACTCAAGAGTTCTCTCAGGTACCCTATATATTATCAAGACATATTTTATGTGAGAGAATCTCTAGACAAAGCCTGTGCTAGACAGTGTTTTGTGAATCATGTTTTGTTTTTGTTTATTTTACTTTAGTGTTTATCATGCATGATGCCCTTTTTCCAATTTTATGTTCTGTCCGGTTTATTTTAGTGGTTCATATTGATTGTGTTTCATCAGAGTATTTACACACTAGCATGCTGTGTTTTCTTTTTGTGTGTTTGGGGTTATTTTGCTTTACTTTCCACCAAAAGCAGCCCTTTATTTTGTGAATCTTCCTTTCATTAAGCCTTTGTATTATGGTATTTAACATTGATTTGACTTTCTTTATTATTATTATTACTATTAATATACTAAAATGAGGCTTGTATCTTAAAATAACTATTGATGCCTTTGTAGAATTTGATCTACTTGACAAACTCTTTTTTAAAGAGTGTTTAAAAAAAATCATAATAAAAAAGCTCCCTAGTTTTATTATACTGTTGCAATTGATTTTAACACCATTATTATTATTTTATTTTTTTAATGTCACTTCCAGGAAAGAGAATCTCTTCAGAAGCAACTTGATGAAGCCAACAGGGAAGCACAGAGATATCGACAACAGCTTATAAAGAAAGAGCAAGAAGCAGAGGCTTGTAGGCAGAGATTGGATGCGATTAACAGACTCCACACTAAGGAAGTTGTTTAATTAGTTACAGTAGACTTGTAGTAATCTCATTTGTGAAGATGCAAACCTGTACTGCCCCAATTTATGACATGTGATACATCTGAACACATGAACATTCAGCAAGAAAACAGGTTTCTTCACCAAGAGCCTCCAACGTCCTTGTGAAATGCATTATACAAGTGCTGGAGTAAGCAAAGGTCAATCTTTGTGAAAAGTATTTTTAAAAAAATAAATACTGTACATAGCCCTTTTTTACAGTTAGCATATAAGTTGATGCTGATGTTTGAAAGGTAGCAGAGGTAACCTTGTCAACTAAAACCTATCTAAGCGCTTAAGATCTCTAAAGTGGATGTTACTTTGAAAGATAATCTGCTACTCTTTCTTTAAACAGATCAACGAGGCCTTTGAGGTTATCATTTCCTAGTGGAAATCTTTGTACAGCTTTTCATTTTGTTTTGTGTCTCCTAATTTTCTCCCCTTTTCTATTGAGCAAAAACTTTTATATTGATTTAACTTCTGAAAAACATCCAGGTAAAGTGACTTGTATATGAAGCGAATATTTTTTAAAAACAAAAATCTAAAAAAAAAACAAAAACATTTTTGTACATATGTTGCATGCTTTTTGTATATTCTTCCTGCACATATCAGGCTTGGTAATCTTGTGGCAACATATAAAATTATCTACATATAGACTGTGTAACACTTAACGGCAAGTTTGAATTACTCCCTCTCAGGACTTAAACAGTCTTAAAATGTTTTTTTTTGGAGAGTTAATGTTACACCATTCCAAACCAAACAAAGTGTCCCTATATAATTTAGAAAGCAGAATACTGTAAATTCAGACATCTGATGTATTTAAGTAACTATTAGCCACAGATTATTTATACTCTCATTATTTTTCATTTGCTTCTTTTGGTTTAGATTATGCCTCTAGCACATCTCTTCTATGCAGATGATGTTAAAATATATTTGTTAATATCCATGACTCCACACACATCTAGGTCTTAGTCCAAGACAGATGAGTGTAAACATAATGAACATTGTTTGTATTACAGCTACTACATAGAAATTCTGTGTATGTATGTTTATTTGTATGTGTGTGTTTTATATGTATGTATGTATGTATGTATGTATATATATACATACACACGCACACATTTGCAATTATGTGACTTTGCTTTCAAAGTCTAATATGCAATCCATTTTATTTTTTGTTTTGTTTCACAACTTCCAAATTTATTTTTTCCTTCTACCTTTTTCGGCTTGTTTATGAAAATAATGTGATGAAATACAAAAGTGATCACAATATATAAATTTTGTTTATTTGTAAACGCAATGATTTTTAATTGCAGATGCTTGGATAGTGAATATAAAGGGTGATTTTAATTCTCACAGGGTAAAGCAGTCCCACTGTACCTGAAGAACATGGAGTGGCATTATCATTGCAGCGCACTTTTTTGTTTGTTTTGTTTTTGTTTTGCACATTCTTGCTGCAGAATGGAATATATTTTTGTTTAAGTTGCCTCCATTATTTGAATTCTTCAGGGGCAGGACAGACCAAAAATATTAAATTAAATAAATTGAGAAAAGTACTATCCCTCAGGAACTCCAGAGATGTGCCACTATTTTGCTTAAAATTTCAGTAAGCAAGCTCTCTTCTTTTTATGAAATGCTACTGAAATAAAGAATTAATGTTTCTTGATCAATTGTCAATATGTCTGGAGAGATATAAATTATAATGATCTTAAGTAGAAGGGAGTATACAGTGTTGAGAGCTATGTGCCTGTGCATCCTGTTCATATTTTTTATTTTACTTTTATTAAAGATCTTTACAAATATTCATGTTTGTTTTAATTCTGAAAATGTTAAGAATTTGAGATTTATTTAGTGTATAATATATAAACTGGATAGATACTAACACATCACAAGGGGATTTCGTCAATAAACTCCAAATTGAAATGAATTAAACATTTCACGGCTAAAATAGACAAGGTAAGAATATTGCTGTAAACATACACTGCTCAAAACAAATAAAGGACACAAAAATAACACATCCTAGATCTGAATGAATTAAATATTCTTCTGAAATACTTTGTTCTTTACATAGTTAAAGGTGCTGACAACAAAATCCCACAAAAAATGGAAATCAAAATTTTCAACCCATGGAGGTCTGGATTTGGAGTCACACTCAAAATTAAAGTGGAAAAACACACTACAGGCTGATCCAACTTTGATTTAATGTCCTTAAAACAAGTCAAAATGAGGCTCAGTAGTGTGTGTGGCCTCCACGTGCCTGTATGACCTCCCTACAATGCCTGTGCATGCTCCTGATGAGGTGGCGGATGGTCTCCTGAGGGATCTCCTACCAGACCTGGACTAAAGCATCTGCCAACTTCTGGACAGTCTGTGGTGCAACGTGACGTTGGTGGATGGAGCGAGATATGATGTCCCAGATGTGCTCAATTGGATTCAGGTCTGGGGAACGGGCGGGCCAGTCCATAGCATTAATGCCTTCGTCTTGCAGGAACTGTTGACACACTTCAGCCACATGAGGTCTAGCATTGTCTTGCATTAGGAGGAACCCAGGGCCAACCGCACCAGCATATGGTCTCACAAGGGGTCTGAGGATCTCATCCCGGTACCTAATAGCAGTCAGGCTACCTCTGGCGAGGACATGGAGGGCTGTGCGGCCCCCCAAAGAAATGCAACCCCACACCATTACTGACCCACTGCCAAACTGGTCATGCTGGAGGATGCTGCAGGCAGCAGAACGTTCTCCATGGCGTCTCCAGACTCTGTCACGTCTGTCACATGTGCTCAGTGTGAACCTGCTTTCATCTGTGAAGAGCACAGGGCACCAGTGATGAATTTGCCAATCTTGGTGTTCTCTGGCAAATGCCAAACGTCTTGCACGGTGTTGGGCTGTAAGCACAACCCCCACCTGTGGACGTCGGGTCCTCATACCACCCTCATGGAGTCTGTTTCTGACCGTTTGAGCAGACACATGCACATTTGTGGCCTGCTGGAGGTCATTTTGCAGGGCTCTGGCAGTGCTCCTCCTGTTCTTCCTTGCACAAAGGTGAAGGTAGTGGTCCTGCTGCTGGGTTGTTGCCCTCCTATTGCTTCCTCCACGTCTCCTGATGTACTGGCCTGTCTCCTGGTAGCGCCTCCATGCTCTGGACACTACGCTCACAGACACAGCAAACCTTGCCACAGCTTGCATTGATGTGCCATCCTGGATGAGCTGCACTACCTGAGCCACTTGTGTGGGTTGTAGACTCCGTCTCATGCTACCACTAGAGTGAAAGTACCACCAGCATTCAAAAGTGACCAAAACATCAGCCAGGAAGCATAGAACTGAAAGTGGTCTGCAGAACCACTCCTTTATTGGGCGTGTCTTTCTAATTGCCTATAGTTTCAACCTTTTGTCTATCCCATTTGCACAACAGCATATGAAATTGATTGTCACTCAGTGTTGTTTCCTAAGTGGACAGTTTGATTTCACAGAAGTGTGATTGACTTGGAGTTACATTGTGTTGTTTAAGTGTTCCCTTTATTTTTTTGAGCAGTGTATAATGCAGGTACCGTGAAATTGTTTGCTTTGAGCTATTTATTATAATTTGGGAAGTGATCATCTAGTGCGTTAAAAAGTGTCTTACTGTATGATGTCTACATAGATTTAGTTCGGAACTATATGGATATGGACACAATATTCATAAATTTGACTGTGTATGCCACCACAATGGATTTTGAAGTGAAACAACCAAGATACAATTGAAGTGCAGACTTTCAGAGTTAATGCAAGGGATTGAATAAAAATATTGTATGAAACATTTAGGAATTGCAACAATTTTCATACACAGTGCCCCTTATTTTAGGGGCTCAAATGTAATTGCAAAAAGTAACACAATCAGAAATAAAATGTAAATTTGTAATAGTTTGTCGAGAATCCTTTGCAGGCAATGACTGTTTCTGGAACGCATGGACATCACCAAATGCTGGGTTTCCTCTTTTCCTCCTTTGTGATGCTTTGCCAATCCTTTACTGCAGCTGCCTTCAGTTGTTTGTTCGTGGGTCTTTCTGCCTTAAATTTTGTCTTCAGCAAGTGAAATGCGTGCTTGATCGGGTTGAGATCAGGTGATTAACCCTGCCATTGCAGAATATACCATCTGTTTGCCATAAAATCTTGGTTTGCTTTCACAGTATGTTTTGGGTTATTGGGTTATTGTCCATCTGTAAAGTGAAGCCCGTCCAGTCAACTTTGCTGAATCTGAGCAAACAATATATCCCTATACACTTCAGAATTCATCCAGCTGCTTCTGTTGCATCATCATTAAAACCCTAGTGCCCGTGAGAGCCATGCATGCCCATGCCCCCACCTTGTTTTAGATCATGAGCCATTTCAAGCCTTGTCTAAACGTTTTCTTCCCATCATTCTAATACAGGTTGTTCTTAGTTTCATTTATCCAAAGAATGCTGTTCTAGAACTGGGCTAGATTATATTAGGTAAAGTCTTATCTGGCCTTCCTATTATTGAGGCTTATGAATGGTTGTTACCTTGTGGAGTACCTTCTGCATTTGCTCTTGTGAAGTTTTTATGTTAGACCTGAATAATGATATTAGAAAAAAAACCACCACTGGTGTATATGTGGAGCACTCAAATAATTATCAACTTACCCATATGGGTATGCATACAAATGTACAGAAGAAAGAAACAGTGAATCTGAAACAAATATAAATACAAATGGTGCAAGTAACGCTAGGTAACAAACACAATAAGTAAACAAATAGACCCACTCACATGTAACTGAGCCAATTTGGATAGGCTCAGATCACAACGGCGTGTGTGTACTTAGGCGACACAATACCCAATCGGTCCCATTAGTCTTCTATGGTCCTTATGCATACATAAAGGCAGTAAAAGAGGGAGAGGTCCTTGTGTAGTAAATCACACTGATCAATAGTGAATATTAAAATAAATGGCTTCTCACCTGGTAGGCTCCTAGTATATAGGTATATGTGCCTTTAAGGAGGCTACCACCCTTGTTTTAGCAGCGGAAAAGATGGGAGAAGGACTTCAAAATTAGACAAAATGTATTCATTAAAATATAGTACAAATAAAAAGTGAACTAAATTATATAATAAAAAAGAAAAAAATTAATGAATAAAAAGTCAATGTACTCTTCTCCTAGGGGGCCAGGAGGCGGCCACCTCAGGGCCCCCCGAGGCTGGCCCTGCTGACCCCGACGGCCGGGCTGTCTGGGCGGGCAGCCGGCATGCGAGGGAGCACTCAGTGCTTCCTCTTCAGCTCCCTCGCGCGCCGCACTGATGCCGGAGCCGGAAGATGACGTCATCTTCCGGCGCCGGCATCCCTACGCGGCGCGCGAGGAAGCTGAAGAGGAAGCACTGAGTGCTCCCTCGCGCGCCCGCCTGCCTGCCCGACCGGCCACCTGCCCAGGAGCCCAGCAGCACCACTGGACCCCAGGGAATACCCCCAGCACTCTAAAAGGTAAGGAGGCTGGGGGGATTAAATTAAAAAAAAAATGTGTGTTAGTGTATGTGTGTGTGTTAGTGTATGTGTTTGTGTGTTAGTGTGTGTGTGTGTCTGTGAGTGTGTCTGTTATTGGGTGTGTGTCTGCTAGTGAGTGTGTTACTGTGTGTGTTACTGAGTGTGTTTGATGTCTGTTAGTGAGTGTGTGTTTGTCAGTGAAAGTGTATGTTTTGTAAGTGAGTGTGTATGTATGTCTGTTGCTGAGTGTGTGTCTGTCAGTAAATGTGTGTGTCTGTTAGCTAGTGTGTATGCGTCTGAGAGTGTGTGTGTGTGTCTTCAGCATTTACCTTTCTCCAGCGTCGGACTCCCCAGTGTCCGCCTCTCAGCTCCGAATGCACATGCGCGGCAAGAGGCGCGCGCGCATTTAAACCGCCCATAGGAAAGCATTACTCACTGCTTTCCTATGGACGTTCAGTGTCTTCTCACTGTGATTTTCACAGTGAGAATCGCGGAAGCTCCTCTAGCAGCTGTCAATGAGACAGCCACCAGAGGCTGGATTAACCTCAGTGAAACATAGCCGTTTCTCTGAAACGGCTATGTTTTCAGCTGCAGGGTTAAAACTAGAGGGACCTGGCACCCAGACCACTTCATTGAGCTGATGTGATCTGGGTGTCTGTAGTGGTCCTTTAAGTGTGTGTGCAGCATACCGCGGTCGCGGGGTCGCAGCCCTGCAACCCCTGCGACCAGGTGCCCGCCGCCATGTGTCGCGGCCCCGACCTGCGCTGAGTAAGCGTGGGAGGGGGGGCCCCTGGATCAATTTTCGCACTGGGGCCCCATGGGTCATGTGTACGCCACTGCCCTTAAGGACCAAACTTCTGGAATAAAAGGGAATCATGACATCACACATGTCATGTGTCCTTAAGGGGTTAAAAGCAGAGATAGGAGGGGGAAAAAAGGGGGTTGGACACACAGAGGTGGCCAGCAGCACTGTATCATGGCTATATTATAAAAAAAAAAAAAGCAAACACAAACAGACAAATTGAATTACAGTATTCTTAACCCCTCCCTTCCCTCTTCCCCCGCCCAACCACCCCAAAAGAAAAGTTACCTGCGCTTTACCTAAATCCCCATACTTATTTGAATACCTGGAAGTTTTTAGTATCACTCCAATGGCAATTTAAATGTAAGCTAGCAAGGTGAATTGCTACTGTAGGACTCATTTAAGAGGTTTTGCCTTGATGAGGCAGATGAACTTATACCTTAATGGCCACTGGAGTACTATTTAAAACCTCCAGTTATTTAAATGCATGTAACTATTTTACATAGTTACATAGGCTGAAAAGAGACGTGTCCATCAAGTTCAGCCTTCCTCATATTTTTGCTGTTGATCCAAAAGAAGGCAAAAAAACCCAGTTTAAAGAAGTTCCAATTTTGCAACAAACTAGGAAAAAAATTTGCTCTTGACCCCAGAATGTCAGTCATATTAATCCTTGGATCAAGAAGCACTTACCCTACGTTAAAAAATTATATCCTTGAATATTCTGTTTTTGCAAGTATGCATCTAGTTGCTGTTTAAACATCTGTACGGACTCTGATAAAACCACTTCTTCGTGCAGAGAATTCCATATCCTTATTGTTCTTACAGTAAAAAAAACCTTTCCTTTGCCTTAGACTAAATCTTCTTTCTTCCAGTCTAAACACATGACCTTGTGTCCTATGTAAAGTCCTGCTTGTGAATAGATTTCCACACAATGGTTTGTATTGGCCACGAATATATTTGTATAATGTTATCATATCCCCTCTGAGGTGACGTTTTTCTAAACTAAAGAGGTTTAAATTTGTTAACCTTTCTTCATAGCTAAAATGTTTTCCTTTTATTAATTTTGTAGCCCTCCTCTGCACTCTTTCTAGTGCCATAATATCCTTCTTTAGAACAGGTGCCCATAATTGCACAGCATATTCAAGATGTGGTCTTACCAGCAATTTATAAAGAGGCAAAATGATATTCTCATCCCAAAAATTAATGCCCTTTTTCATGCATGACAATACCTTATCAGCCTTAGCCACTGCTGACTGACATTGCACATTGTTGCTAGTTTGTTGTCTATAACAATTCCAAAGTCCTTCTCGTGTGTGGTTATCTCTTATTCGCTTCCATTAAGGGTATACGTTGCTTGTGCATTCTTGATGCCGAAGTGCATAACTTTGCATTTTTCTACATAAAATTTAATCTGCCATTTGAGTGCCCAGTCCCCCAGTCTATCTAAATCCCTCTGCAGCAAAGTAATATCTTGCTCATATTGTATTACTTTACAGAGCTTTGTGTCATCTGCAAACACTGAAACATGACTTTCAATGTTTTTTTTCAAGATCATTTATAAACGTTAAATAGAAGGGGTCCCAAAACGGAACCCTGAGGGACACCACCTCTGTCCAGCTTGAAAATGTACCATTAATGACAACTCTCTGTACTCTATTTTTAAGCCAATGTTCTACCCAGGAACAAGAATTTTCATCTAGACCGATTTCTTTGAGTTTGAACATTAATCTATTGTGTGGGACTGTATCAAACACCTTGGCAAAATCCAAATAGATCACATCCACTGCAACACCCTGATCTATACTTCTACTTACTTCTTCATAGAATGCAATCAAGTTAGTTTGACATGCCCTGACCTTCGTAAAACCATGCTGATTTTTGCTGATAACTATGTTCTTCTCAATTAATTCTTAAATATTATCCCTTAATAATAACGTTTCAATTTCCCAGACACAGAAGTTAAGCACACAGGTATATAATTTCTAGGCGAGGATTTCAAACTCTTTCTGAATATAGGAACCACATCCGCCTTCCTCTAATCCTCCGGAACACTTCCTGTAAGAAAATAATCCTGAAAGATTAAAAACAGAGGTTCACTTATTTCCACACTTAGTTCCTTAAGTACTCGTGAATACCGTCAGGCCCAGGAGGTTTGTTTATATTAACTTTCTTTAGTTGCTGCAGCATCTTGTCTGTTAGCCAATTTTTCTGCATGTGTTTTTGCAGCAATTTGCATATCTATTATTGCCATAGGTTCTTCCTTAATATATACAGAGGAGAAATAGTTATTTAAAATTTCTGCCTTTTCCTGGTCTTCATTAACGAACACCCACATCCCTGTTTTAAGTGTACTTTAACTTTCATTTTTTTTATTTTTTTTTAGAATTTATGTACTTAAAAAATGCTTTGGAATAAGGGCCCCAGACGGCACACTGAAAACTTCACCAACTGACATAGCCCAAATCTTCTCAACCTTCTACAAAACGCTATACAACCACTCCCCTCAAGATGACATATCTAACGCCGACACAGATCGGAGCATAACCGAATTCCTCACCCAAACTACACGCCACGGCCATAGTAGAATTATCAGCA